GTCAAATTTTTTTTTTTTTGTGATAATTAACTTCAACATGACAATTTTGGAGAACAATTTGCCCATTTGAACATTTTATAACCTGAATTTAAACTTCAAAAAAAAAAAAAAAAGTTGTCTTTATTGAAATTCTTCCAATATTTGCCCTCTTAACAAGAAAGTTTAGGAGGAAGGAGGTTCTGCTAGTCCAAGGCGTGAACATGGCACTAGTCCTAGAGTCTTATGTAATAGTATCTACAGGTTGCCTAATCACAAAGGAATACTAAAATGATATAGTTACAAAATTATGTAGAATTGTAAACTTATAATGATGATAGTGATGATGTGATATTAAATGAATAAATACATGTAATAGTCACATAATTTTCCTAAAAAATCAATCATAAAATGAGATATCATGATTTTAAGTTTACAATTACGCATAATATTGTAACCATTATATTTTCAATAGAAATACTAGCATTAAGAGTCAAATCTAAACCTAGGCAAAATGTTCAATCCTTACAATTGAACCTACCAACGTAGAAATTCTCAAGAATTTGGAGATTACACTTGAGGTGTTTGATACCATGGAGTGAGGTGTCGACAGATGGAGGATGAGAGACAAGCCAAAAAGATTATTAAGTGACAGTGTCTGCACTTCAAGCAGAAAAATGCGCTAAGACAAACTTCAAAGGCAAGGATACCTCCATGGGATTTGTCCAACAATTTTAAAGGGGTTGGCAAATATAGTTGCATTGTGATGACTGCCAAACATATAAAAAGCTTAGTTATTATACACACTAAAGAAGGAAAGCAGAATGAGTGGCACCGGACTGATTTGAAGCCGGGTTATATTCTTCACCATGTAGAAGCATTCGACTGCCAGACTATTTAACCTCAGCTAAGGTTTCTTACTTTAAACAGGACTCCAAATGTTCCACCTGCATGTTACAAAAGGGAAGTTTGTAAAAGTATTAGGCTTGATGAGTAGTTTAGTAGGCAACAAACCACATTGATAATGACATACCACTGGACTGGAGGAATTATTCTCACATGCTAGAGTGTATCAACAGGCAACTGCCTCTTCTCTAAAGATCAGTTACTACCACTTTATAACCGACTGATCCTCCAGCTTTGGGTTTGGTATCTGCAGAATACCACAGGAAGGATACCCTTCCACCTAAAATAAACCGATTGTCAAACATAAAAGAACCTGCCAATCCCTCCAAAAAAGTAACTAACCCAAGATTTCTACCCTCATAAATAAATTAATAAATTCTTCAATATAAATATCAAAACAGGCACCTAGGTGACATATTTATCAGGAAAATGAATTAAAATCAAATCAGAATCTATCCAAGTAGTTACATTGGAATGTTCTGAAGCCCAAAATTGGCAGAATTAATTGCTCCATGCCTCTATCCCCTTAATTGGTAAACATTTAATCTTCTAGAGGAAAGTTCCAAAAGAACTGTTCTTTCATCAGAGGATATATGAACATTTGAGCAGTCCACCTTTCATCTACAAAGTTCAACATCCCAGGTTTTATTGAACACCATAGAAATGGTAGATGGGTATTTCACAGTTAACTATCAATATTCATTAAAAACCACATAGAAATAACAATTAACCAAAACAAAAAATGAATATCTAAGAATATCTAACTACCTGACTGCCAAAGTAGTTCTTTTGTCTTCTTTCTGTCCTAAAATAGGGAGGGGACATAACAATTATCCAAATTCATGGGTGTTCTAGAATTCCACTCATGTTCTAAAACACCATAGACTCATAAATCTAGATAGCAAAAAGAAAAAACATTGAAGATAAAAAATCTTTAAAAATAAAAATAAAAATAAAATAAGAAGCTCTGTAACAACCCAAAAAAAAAAAAAAGAGCACATCCCATTCAAACTGATGTATTTTGGTTGTTGCTTCTACAGAATCAATCAATTGAATTCATCTGAGTAACCAAAGGAGAAGATCAAGTAATGTGAGTTGAATGATTAGCAGCATATTGTTGTTTTCTAATTTTCATTACACGTACCTCTAACTGATGAAGAGTGTCAATGAGGTGCCACTGCTTCTGCTTAAGCAGCACCGATTGATTCTACAATGCAGCAAACTCCATTCTAACTTCTCATCTGCCCGCTGTCCTGGATGGTCTCCCCAACCTCCATCAGCCGCTGCCTCATCTTCTCCATTTAGTGTACAATCACCCTGATCTAAAACCTAAGTTGAAGCTCATCAATAAACAACCCAATCTGAAAGTTTAATTTGATAAATAAAGAGGATTTCGTTATCTGATATCCAATAACAAAATGAATTGAAAAAGACTGCCAAAACTTTTTCTTTCTTTTGGGAATTATTTATTTTTTTATTATTGTAATCAATTAAATAATAAAACATCAAATGAGTTAACTAGACATTATCAAAATTCTTGTCCTTTGTAGTCTGTTTCAGTCCCTTAGTAGTCTTTAGGCCTTAATGGTAACAAAATGTAATATTATTATTAGGTACTGATAAGAAAACTAAAAGGCCCAAACCATATAGCAGTAAAGTACAACTTGTAAGAAAAGATTATCCTATGCAAGGAACAAGAAGTCTTCTAGCACCTAAAAGCAAAGAAACGCACCTTAGTACTCCATAGACGAGCAACTGCCCAACACATTACAGGATCCCACATAACCATTTTATGAATGTCTTTTAGAGGTTACTCTCAAGGCTCAACTGCTCTACTTCTCCTTCTATCTCTAGTAGCCATTTTCTGTCCATATCTCTCAAATATATCAGCCAAATCAAACAAGCCCACTTCCCTTAATTTCTTCCCCACCTCCTCAAACATAACCGTACCTTCCTCGTTTGAATAATAATGCAAAAATTTATTGTAATCAAATTGAGGGACCTCCATTCCTCCCTTCATTGTTCTCTCCACATACTTGGTTGCTTCCACTGTCTTTCCAGCTTTAACCAAACCACCAACAAAGATCGTATCAAAATTCACCGAAGGATCCTGTCCCTTCCTTCCTCTTTTCCCCAAGTGCCCTTGCAATAACATAATGTAGGTGTGCATTATAGGCTCACAGCCACTCTTAATCATTTGTCTAAACACTTCTGTCGCTTCACATGTTTTCCTCAGTCTCAAAAGCCCCTTCATTAATCCATGGTACACACTGATGTCTGGGTTTTGAATCCCTTCCACAACCCTGTAAGCTTCATTAACCCTTCCTCTCACTAAATGCCCATAAATCATCGACCCCAATGTTAAATTATCAGGTTGAATCCCTCTCTGGCGCATTTCATCAAGGACCATGTTCCCTACCTCAATTTTGCCTCTCTTGCACATCCACTTTATCACAAGCCTATAAGTTGAAAGCCCTAAATCATCCATCCTTTTCACTCGCATCATCTGAAAAACTTTCATGGCCTCATCATACTTGTTAATCTTGAAAAGGGTCTCCATCAGTCTTTCAACTGCTTCAATATCCGGCTTGAACCCTTCATCCACCATCATATTCCAAATTTTTGAGGCCTCGATCAACTCACCCACATTACAGAAACCCCAAATCAACCATCTATAAGTTACCCCACTTGGCTTAATCCACTCAGTCAACTTGAACACCATGAACTTAGCCTCGTCCACGAGCTTATCTTTGCATAAACTCTCAACTACGTTGTTCAAAGTCTCCAAATTGTATCTAAACCCATACCCATTCATCACATGAAAAAGGTCCACGCATTTTTTCAACTCCCTGGCTGAGGCTAGTGTCCTCAAAGCAATCCTAAAAGTCTTATCATTAACCAAGCTGCAACTTCCCATTTCTTGCAAGATTTCCCACAAAAGCTGTATGTTTCTTGATTTGCCGATGATATCTACCATCTTGTTGTAGGTGACTGAGTTGTGACTGAATTGGGGCAGTGTCTTGGTGTAGAGAAAGAAGCGGTAAACAGGGCGCCATGAATAAGGGAAGGTGTTGCAGACTTGAAGAAAGAACTCAGAGTTGATGCGAAGGTTACATGAGGATAGGGAAGAGTGGAGACGCAAGTCAGGGGAGTTATGTTGCTGGTAAAGGATGGTACAAACCTGGATGAGGTGAGCTTGATCAACTGGGGTTATAGGGCTAGGATTGGTGAGTAGAGAGGAAGTTACCTCAGTAGCTATGAAACGAAAGTGGGTTAGCAGGGCTCTAGTGCACGTTAATCTTCTCATCATCATCCTGATGAAACCAGAATTTTAAACAAAAGAAAAACTTGAGCTTGATACCTAATTACAGAACACAATCAACTCCACTTTACCCGGAATGGCCCTTCTCCTGTCACTACCTTATTTATGATTCCCTCTTTCTTTTCCTTGCTCTGGTTGCTCATCCATTCTCTGATAGACCTCCGGTTTTCTCCTCTGCTCTATTCTTTTTACTGCCTAAAACTCCATTAATTTTGCTCTCTGTCCTTTTGCGTTTTAGTCCTCCTCTCCAATTTGCCTTTCGGTTCAGTTCTGAACCCTTCCATGGAATGAGGGGTGGCTGAACAATGGGCGAAATGAGAGCAAGAATCAGGCCGCCGCCGAAGAGAATGCGGGCTCTCTGGTTTTCCGATCAAACGGCAACTTAAGGCTTTTTGGTCGAGGGAGTAGGAGAGAGTTCAGGCGGAGGAGTGCGGCTGCCGCGATCAGGAATTCAGCCCAGGGAAGAAAGGGTCTGCCATGCGCGCCGCGGTAGGATTGAGTGCTGAAAAGTTTTTTCTTCCGTATCGTGACATGAAACGGTGAGTTTAAGGGGATGAAAAAGGCAAAACCATAAGTTAAGCCCCTGAACTAACCCCAGAATCGCTATTAATCCCCAAACTTTAATTGATGCATAAAAGCCCCTGAACTCTGCCATAGAAGCAATTTAGCCTTTACTCTTACAGCAACTTAACTGCTGTTAACTGCCCTTAATTGCCATTTGGGGACTGCCTCGTGTGGCAAAATATGGCCATCTCATACCTATGTGGCAAGGGACTTGATATTTAGTTTGTCCACTTGGATGAAAAAAATATATATATATATTTTGGAAATAATTCTTTTTTGTATAATTTTAAATGTTATTTAAATAATTAACTTTTTTTTATTTATGAATTTATCTAACATATACTTTAAGAGCACAAACTAAGAATATAATAAATATATTTTTTTATAATAACTTTATATTAAAAATAAAAGTTAAAATTTAATTTTTTTAACTATCTAATTAAATTTATCCATTTAACACCAATACTAAAA